GAAAAAGTAAGACAGGAGAGTGATAGGAATTCAGAGTCAAACATTTTTTATTAATGTATAGGATAGACACACACACAAACTGAATGGAAGCTGGGAATCAAGGGAAGTAAATAATCAAGAACCTGACCTGTCCTGAAGGCCCTATGAAAGTTTGAGAGTATGAACTTGTATTGGAAAAAAATGGCCTGATTGTTTTTCTTCATCCATTCATGAAGAAACATGTAATTTTTAATATCCATCATGTTCAGAAGCAAACACCTTGCACCTTCAAGAACCCCGGGGTCTAGTGGTGTGGGGGGAAAGAGATGTTCAGGATTTATTACCGGTAAATCACATGTAGGAGAAAGAAAGGTTGAGGAAACAAGAAATGGATTTTCATGCTCATCGTTACATTCCTGGTGACAGAATGGCCCACGATAATTAGGTTTGAAGGAAAGTCTTTGCCTCCAGATCTTGCACAGTATGTTGCAGGGGTTTCCAGTGTTAATTCTGTGATATATTTTTTCCGACTCCATTAGATATTGTCAACTCCATTAGATAACATCTAATAACTTCTCTTGAAAAATATATTCAATTAGTGAAAGAAGATGCTGGTTCTTTAAAGATATTGTGCTGCAATTTCCAGTGTATTTTTAAGTTGTTTATTTAAGACTAGAGGCCCCGTGCACGAAAAATGTGCGTGAGGGTGAGGGGTGGGCGAGGTCCCTCAGCCCAGCCTGTGCCCTCTCGCAGTCCGGAGCCCTAAACAGTCAGTGGGACATCCTTAGCGCTGCTACAGAGGTGGGAGAGGTTCCTGCCACCACTGCTGCACTCACCAGTCGAGCCTGGCTTCTGGCTGATTGGTGATTCCCCCTGTGGGAGTGCACTGACCACCATGGGGCAGCTACTGCCTTGAGCGGGTTCAGGTTGAAACAGCTCTCCGACATCCCCTGAGGGGTCCTGAAAGGGCACAGGCCAGGCTGAGGGACCCCACCAGTGCACTATCTTTGGGCTTGGGAGGAACGTGGGAGGTTGGCCAGCCAGGGAGGGAACGCATGGGAGGGACATGGGAGGCTGGCCAGCCAGGAAGGGAATGCAGGAGGTCTCCAGGGCGTATCCCCCCCAGTATCGCTCAGTCCTGATTGGCTGGGCCCCAGCAGCAAGCTAACCTACCAGTTGGAGTGTCTTCCTCCTGATGGTCAGTGCACAACATAGCAAGTGGTTGAGTGGCCTTAGCATATCATTAGCATATTTCACTTTGATTGGTTGAATGAACGAATGGACACTTAGCATATTAGGCTTTTATTATATAGGATCTTTCGGCTCATTAAGGAGTGGGAGGCAGAGAGAAAAGAATGGTTTTTAATGAGATATACAATGTTTTTGTGTTTCATGGGCTTATCCTGTGGGGTTTTTTGGGTTTTTTTAAATATATTTTATTGATTTTTTTACAGAGAGGAAGGGAGAGGGATAGAGAGTCAGATACATCGATGAGAACATCGATCAGCTGCCTCCTGCACACTCCCCACTGGGGATGTGCCCGCAACCAAGGCACATGTGCTTGACCAGAATCGAACCCGGGACCCTTGAGTCGCAGGCCGACGCTCCATCCACTGAGCCAAACCGGTTAGGGCCCTGTGGGTTTTTAAAAAATATTTTTTAACTTAATTATAATATGTGCAGATAACTTCATTCTACTTGTCTTTGTCTGTTTGGGCTTCTGTAACAAAAATGCCACAAATTGGGTGGTTTCAACAGCAGAAACCTCTCACAGTTCTTGAGGCTGGAAGTCCTGTTCAGGGTGCCCACAGATTTGGTGCCTGATGAGGAGAGGGTAAGAGCTCTCGGGGGCTCTTTTATAAGGGCACTAATCCCATTCCTGAGGGCTCCACCTCCTGATCTCATCTAATCCCAATCATTTTCCAAACACCCCACCCCCTAC